CGTTTTTGGCCCCAAAAAAACGACCATGTATAGTAAGGCGTTTTTGGCCCCAAAAAAACGACCATGTATAGTAAGGCGTTTTTGGCCCCAAAAAAAACGACCATGTATAGTAAGGCATTTTAGCCAAAATAAACGACCATTTATAGTAAGGCATTTTTTTTACAACTTAAAACTACCATGTACAGTGAGGCGTTTTTAACTAAAAAAAGACGACCATGAGTGTGAGCGTGACGAGTTGTGCCGAGATGAGCATCAGAAAATGGATGGCCACCCATGTGTTTGAGATTACACAGGAAGGTCGAAACCGGAATTGAACCCCCGCACCTCTGCACTGCGACGCAGACGCACTAACCATTCGACTCCCAGGCAGGAAGATCTTTGTTGGCTGCAAAAGAACACGATTCTATAAATAGTTGTCTTTTTGCGCTGTAAAAGAACACCTGACTATCGATGGGTGTCTTTTTTGGCTGTAAAAAACGCCTTACTAAACTTAAAAAATACTTTACCAAAAAAAGCCTTACTATGCACGTGATTAAAAAAAAAAACGGTATTATATAGGGACAATGTAGATATATGACGACGTCATGCCTGGTCGTCGAATGGTTTGTTCGTCTGCGTTGCGACCTTGAAGAGTTCGAGTCTGTCTCTGGCCAACCTGTGTGTTCTCAAAAACATGCGTGGCCATCCATTTTCTGATCCTCTTTTCCGCACAACTCTTCGCGCTCACACTCACACCAAGGAACAATTCACACAATGCCTTTCTGTACGATACATGGTTGTCTTTTTTGGCTAAAAACGCCTTCCAATACATGTTTGCTTTTTGGGGGCCAAAAACACCTTACTATACATGGTCGATTTTGGGCTAAAAACACCTAACTGTACCTGATCGTTTTTTTTTTTCAGTAAAAAAACGCCTTACTATACATGGTCGGGGGTTTTTGGGGTAAAAAACGCCTTACTTTGCATGGTTGTTTTTTTTCGGCTAAAAACGCCTTACTATACATGGTTGTCTTTTTTTAGCTTAATTAAAACGCCTTCCTATTCATATTGTGTTTTTTTTGGCCAAAAACGCCTTACTATACGTGGTCGTTTTTTTCGGCTAAAAACACCTTACTATACATTGTCATTTTGGGGGGGTTAAAATCGACTTACAACACATGGTCGTCCTTTTTGGCGATAAAACTAGATGCACGTCCTTCGATCTTTAGGCTGTATATTCTATTCGTTTACCACTAGGTGGCACTAAAATCCACACATGCTACCTTTAAAATTAATGCAAGTTATTCTTAGCCACAAAGTCAGCACATTGAGTTTTAATGGCAAATATATGTTAAATTGGTCAATTGTTTTTCGTAATACCTTCAAAATAAACTCAAAGTTCTATATTTTTCGTCTTTTTTGAAAAGCACCAAATATGGATCAGTCCATCTCAGAACTTGTTTTCTCATGTCATTTTTTTTTTGTACTGAAACTCTTAGTGGGTTATTAGCATAACATTATCAAATACGGGCATTATTGCCATGACAGCGACGCTCATTGGATGTTAACGTTAAACAACGTGAATGTCCGACACAATCCATATCAATGCGTGGAATGCCTTATAAAAATGTATTTTCGTGCAATTGTTTGGGGACGCAAACTGCACCGATTTGGTTGAATGGCCCATATAAGCATGACATAGAATGACGGATTCCTCTGTTTGATACATTCAGATGTAGCTCATGGTAAACAATGCATTTACATCGTTATTTATAGCTTTGTGCAGGCTAAAATGAAGAGCAGATGCAGCTATGCGGTTGTTGGGTATGTGCGGGTCATCCCTCATTTTGAACCGACACGATTGATTTATGACCTCGTTAGACGCAATCAATGTGGAACAAGCTCGCTTGTCACCAAATAATTGACACTCGTTAAACTTCTATCTGAAGTTATGTCGTTTGGACGTAACCGATCTGACGCGCCCTCAGCTCTCTCAAACTCTTTGACGATGTCGTCCCTCTCGCGAGGCTTCGTTATATCAGGCAAGGTAGACTGACTTTGGAGCATTTTTCGGCTTGTCTCTGCCTCCAAACAAGCTATGAAAACAAAACCCACCCCTCTGTCTCTGCCTACAGGCGAGCTGTGTGTCAGCAGGAGACGTGTCTGTCTTGTCTGTGGGAGTGCTCCTGTCACAAGTACGACATGGCTGCAAACAAACAAAACAACTTGTAACATTGTGTAATATAAAACGAAGACGCTCCTGTTCTATTTGGCAAGACATTTGCACGTTCGGATTATTTTGTAGCCTTGTTACCTTGAAGTGTTCAGAAAATAATAAACGATCTTTTTCACTTGATACAAAATAAGCTGATAATCAACGCGATCGGCCCCGATTTCCAATCACGTGATGGGATCGGCACCCCATCCCCCCGCCTCTTTTGAAAATTAAAATTAATTTGCAATAGAAGAGAATCTGCCCATGGAAACTGGAGAGTTTCACTGGAAAAGACCTGCTGACAAAATCGCATCTCAATAAATAGGATCTATCCCATTCATTTTAGACACAATCATATAGGGGGGCAATATTGCCCCCCAAATGTCCGTTTTTCATACAGCCAATCAGCCACTTCAATTTCGAAACATCATTCGTCAGCATATAATCAAAATTAATCCTATTAATTACCTTTAGCCAAGATAAGGCCGGATAAACACTTTTGGACAATAGCACACTTTCAAAGATGGACTTACTTACATATGTCTGTTTTGCTTCTTAAAATATTTGTTTTCCATGACAAATTATAGTCCTTTGCGATGAAAATGCCGGAATTAACTGCAATCCCATTCATGGACTGTAGAGGGCAGTGATGCAAAGACAATAACATTTGACCACAGTTAGTTTGAGAATTCTGTTTGT